TCGACCGTTGATATCTGTCTACTCTGAAAAGGGGGAAGCATCCGGCAAGAATGTCACCCTGCCGGCGGTGTTCAAGGCTCCCATTCGCCCTGACGTCGTGAACTTCGTTCACACCAACCTGCGCAAGAACAACAGGCAGCCCTATGCTGTCAGCGAGCTCGCGGGTATGGTTTGTTCCCAGAATGGATGGAAATGCTGTGGGAACTGTTGATTTTAATGCAGCTGGGCTGAAAGGGAAAGAAATTCAGAGTTGAAATAACAGAAGCATTGTTTAGTTAGATTTTGAAGAGAACACGGGGAAACTATTCTGACTGTTAACAATCTGATTTTAAATTGTATGAGACGTAACCTTGTCAGGCAAAAAACTTCAGTGAAATGCTGTGTTTTTTAATCCCCTGCTCCATGTTGATTACATGAGACTTTCATCTGTGGCATTTACTTAAAATAAACCTGTACAAATAGCTGTTAGCTAGAGTTGCCTCAGAAGCTAGTAGATGCAGATATCTACTTCTTCCAAAGGAATTTGTGGGAGCGTTTTCAAATTTAATTCTGACAGCGGTTCACAAACATCTTAATCTGCTAGGAGCAGCAGTGCCAATGCAGACTTCCATGTTAAAAGTCAAGTTTAGAAATTGTTGTGTTTCCATACTTGATTCTGACCTAAGCAGATTCTGTAAGAGTTGTTTTACCTGATCAGGTTTTGCTTTGCTGAAATGATGAGATTCCACTTCAATGGTCCGTGTTTCTGAACCATATGATAACAGTGGAAGTTCTGATGCTTCGTCCCAGGCTCAACAAATCTGTGGCTTTGGGAAAACAGCAGTGTTGACACTCACTCTCTGCACTGAACTCTTTTCTGTTGCAGGTCATCAGACCAGTGCCGAGTCTTGGGGTACTGGGAGAGCTGTTGCTCGTATTCCTCGAGTACGAGGTGGTGGAACTCACCGCTCTGGCCAGGGTGCCTTTGGAAATGTATCCTTTCATAGCTGCTGCTCACATCAGCGTAAATCTCAGATCATCCAGGGCAAAATTATTTTTAATAATCTCAATATGAAATTGAATCCTACTTCTTGAGGTAATGACTGTCCTCAAACCTCAGATCACTGTGAAAAATGTCATTAGAACAATCTCTGTGCAAATTCAGACTTGTTTTATTGAACAGGATGATTTCTTCTGTCTTTTTTTACTGCAGAAGTGTTGAGTCTCGTGTTGGATGCTGTCTTGCCATGATGTCGTAATTTGCGTCTTACTCTGTGCTCAGTGACAGTTGCCTGCTGTCAGTGAACTGGTACAGATGGCTGACGAACAGTTAATGCTGAGCAAGTGTTAAAGGGGCACATTGGAAAACACAGTTCTGAAAGGTTGTTCTTAACTGTAGATACTTAGATGTGCCGTGGAGGCCGCATGTTTGCCCCAACCAAGACTTGGCGACGCTGGCACCGCAGGGTGAACGTAACTCAGAAACGTTACGCCATCTGTTCTGCCTTGGCAGCATCAGCTCTTCCAGCACTGGTCATGTCTAAAGGTGGGAATTCTACTGGCAATATTTGCGTAGCCTGAGCATTAGAGGCTACTCTGAAATTGCTTGAAATGTTTCTTTTGGATAATAAATTCCCTTTCAAATTAAGGATGCGGTCCCCTCCTTCAGTGGGTTGAGTATTTTTATGTACAACTTTGTGCGGTAATTTGGGGCTTTCACTGTGATAGAAGTTAGGCAGTGCTGAGCTACCTCTGTGTGTGTTGCTGACATCAGTCTTGTCCTAAAAGATCATGAAAAATGAGGTTGAATTTTGAATTAAATAGCAGTTTGGTTTAATTTCTGTTCATAGAAACCACAGATCATGCTTAATTTACTTGAGTATTGTTTGAGGCAGGCCAGTAAGACTGCACTGGAACTTCTCTGCTGTTTTCAGGACACCTCCATTAGATCTCCTATTTTTTCATTTTTGTTTCTGAACACGCAGTGCACTACCTTGAAATGCATGCATATGACCAGGGTCATTGGGTAATTGAATGTCATGTTAGGTCACCGCATTGAGGAGATCCCAGAACTTCCTCTGGTTGTTGAGGACAAAGTTGAGAGTTACAAGAAAACAAAGGAAGCTGTTCTCCTTCTTAAGAAGCTTAAAGCTTGGAATGACATAAAAAAGGTGAGTTGCTACAGGTATGTTCCTGAGGACATTTATGAGTTAGGTTCTGCCATCGTTAAGAAATGCAGATTGCTCTGTATTGGTTGATGCCATGAAAAGTCCTTTAGAAAAGTTGTAGAAAAAAAAGTTTAAGCAGTCAGAGTCAGTTTCTTCCTATGTTGCTTTACTCTTTGTACTTGGTTCCCTTCATTTCAGTGCTGAGTAACAACACTAACTGCTCAGTCTCTATCTCTTGAGTCTTAAGAATGATGAACTTCTCACTGGTCCGTGTTTCAGATTATCAGTGATGATTGTGAAGTTCTGACTGAATTGTCTTTATCTTACTACTGTAAGTTGGGCTTTTTCAAATATTCACGAGTTTCTTTTTCTTCTTGTAGGTTTATGCCTCTCAGCGCATGAGGGCTGGGAAGGGTAAGATGAGGAATCGCCGTCGCATCCAGCGCAGGGGACCTTGCATCATCTACAATGAGGACAACGGCATCATTAGAGCTTTCCGGAATATCCCAGGTAACTTTAACTTGGATCTTATTTAGTCTTTTTTCTCTTTTGGAAGACAGCTTAGAATGATGAGATTCCACTTCATTGGTCCGTGTTTCTGAAACACATGATTTTGTGGAAGTTCTGACTTCTAGCTAAAGTAGCTGTAATTTTATTTCCAGGAATCTGGTTTGGTGATGTTGAGGGATGTTTGTGTGTCTGTTACCATTCAATAACTGCCTTTCAGATTGTAAAAATGAAGCTTTTAAGTTTGCTGCTGGAGAAGGCTGACTTTTTTTTTTTTTAACATACCTGTTAAACACCTTATTATATACAGGTTTATGTGTCTTTGTAGTGTAAAAGCTAATAAAACCATAGCAGTTTTTGTGTACTTCATGGTCTGTTTCTCGGTCCTGTGTTGCTTGCTTTTCATTATAATTGAAGAGGCATGTCTATTTTTCTGCAGGAATTACTCTTCTTGATGTGAACAAGCTGAACCTGCTGAGACTTGCTCCTGGTGGCCATGTTGGGCGTTTCTGCATTTGGACTGAAAGCGCCTTCCGCAAGCTGGATGATCTGTACGGCACCTGGCGCAAACCTGCCACTCTGAAGAGTGACTACAAGTAAGCGTAGTAACACCTGACCCAGCTGCATGGGAGGGTAGCAGGATAACCCAACAGAGCCACAGATTGTCCAGGTTGGGTGTGGAGAGTGAATACTGTCAGTAATTTTTACTAAACGCTTATTTTTATTGAATTAGTTTTATATGTTTTATTTGCCAACTTAAACTCTGAATGTTTGCTTCCCAGCCTGCCAATGCACAAGATGACCAATACAGACCTTGGAAGAATCCTGAGAAGCCAGGAGATCCAGAAGGCACTGCGTGCTCCAAAGTAATCATTTTTAACTGTTAACTACCAAGCACAATCACTTCTTAATTACTGCCAAGTGCAGCGCTTCATGTTGAGAACAAAAATCCCTGTCCCTTGAGATGTCAGATAATGCTGGGATTTCTATAGATCCTAGCTGTAACTACTAGGAATTATGATTCCCTTCAGTGAGATTTTTTTGGAAGGTTTTACAGCCTGCGAGCTGTGGAAGGGAGTCACAATACATCTCTCTTCTTTCCAGGAAGAAGATTCACCGCAGAGTCCTGAAGAAGAACCCGCTGAAGAATCTGAGAGTCATGATAAAGCTGAACCCGTACGCCAAAACAATGCGACGCAACACCATCCTGCGCCATGCCCAGAATGTGAGGACAAAGCCTGTCGTGCAGTCTGAGGCGTTGGAACTGATTCTAGATGCTAACGGTTGTTTTTTTTTTTTCTATCTGTTGTAGCACAAACTCAAGGAGGAGAAGAAAGCCAAAGCCAAGGCCAATGTCACTTCCAAGGCCAAGCTGTCGGCTAAGGCGCAGACCAAGGCCAAGCCTGCAGGCAAGACTGCAGGAAAGGCCGCAGCAAAGGGAGCCAAAGCCCCAGCCAAAGCTCCAGGAAAATCTGCAGCAAAGGCCCCAGCAAAATCCCCGGCAAAGGCCCCAGCAAAGGGCAAGGCTGAAGCGTGAGCAGGGGCAACACTTGGAACACTTGAGCTCAGAAAATTGTAGCGTGGAACTACAGAGAATAAATTCTATTGGAAGAACAAGGTACTTGTGTAGTGGTCTGGCACAGTGGTGAATGGTGGGGGTGAGGAGCGTGGCTCAAGGTGAACGGCGGAAGGCTGATGGGGCTTTGAGGGCACTGTAAGCACACGGGGGTGAGAGAAGTGTGGTCATGGACTGCCCAGGGGAGGTGGAATCCAGCAGCAGTCGTGAGCCATCATAGAATCACAAGGTTGGAAACGACCTGCAAGATCATCTAGTCCAGCTGCCTTCGTGTGAAGTCATAGGCTGCTGTTTTACTGTACCGTGTTCTATGGGCTTTGGAAGGAGCCTAATGTAAAGGTTCTGGATTCCTCGTGCAAGTGCACGTCTGAATTTGGGGCTGGAAAATGGAACACTTGCGTGTTACTGCGGAGCCCGTTCAAAATGCTGTGGCAGGAGCTGGTGCGGTGCAGAGCTCCTGAGCCGCGGGGCGGCCTTTAGCGGAGCTCTAGCGGCCCTATGGCTGCTAGTCCGCCTGCGGGGAGGTGCTGCGTGCGGGTGGGGCGAGAGGGCGTTTTTTCCTTAAGCTGTGCGGCGCGACCGCAGCGGGACCCGCGTCCGCGCTCGCAGCTCCGCGCTCTCCTTCCGCCGCGCGGTACGGCGCAGCGCCGCAAATGGCGGAGCCGTGACGTCGCGCGGCGCTCTCGTGCCGCTCCGCGTCCTCCCGCCCTCGGGGGGGCGGTGCCGCTCCGCGCTTCCCGCCCGCGGGGTCACGTGGGCGCGGCCGCCACGCTTCTCGGGAGCGGGGAGGAGGGGCGGCGCGCGCAGGGGGCCGGGCCGGGGCGGCGGGCAGGATGCTGAGCCGCCTGCAGGAGCTGCGCAAGGAGGAGGAGACGCTGCTGCGGGTGAAGGCGGCGCTGCACGAGCAGCTCACCCGGCTCAAGGTCGGTGGCACCGGGCGGGCGCCGCGCTCCGGGAGCGGGGCGGGCCGCGCGACGCTGCGCTGCGGCCGGCTGGCGGCTGCGCTTCTGCCGCGGCGTCGCGACGGAACGCCGGGCGCCGGAAGCGCTTCGTTCCTGCGTGACCGGAGCCCTTCGCGTCCCTGCGCGCGCAGGTGGAGGAGCTCGCGCTGCAGTCCATGATCCGATCCCGCGAGGAGGACCTGGCGGCCGCCGCCGCCGCCCCGGGCGCGGAGGACCCGCAGCAGGTGAGGCGCAGCGGAACGGCCCTCCGGGCTCCCCGTCCCTGCAGTGCTGCCCCGGCTTTGGGAGCGGCTGCTCGCGTCTGGTGCATCGTAAGGCGGCGTTTTAGCCGGGAGGCGGTTGGGATGTGGGCGCGGTCCGAGCCTTCAGCCGGGCCGCCCGAAGTCGTTCCGCCGGCCGTCGCTTCCCCGGCTCTGAGGCCGGCGGTTGCGGAGCTGCCGTCCGCACGGGGCGCTGACGGCTCCCGCCTCGGCCGCGCGAGCTCAGCGCGGCTCCTGGCGCTGGCAGCCCTTAGTTGCACTCTCTTATCGTGACAGATCCTCGGGCAGATGGACAACGAGGCTGCTATCAATCAAACCGAATTACAGCTGAGTATTCGAGATTATGAAGAGGAGATGGAAGAGGAGGAGGAATCGGATTCTTGAGAGAGAGAAGAGTCAGAGATGGTTTTTAATACAGGCTCAGGAATTTCTCCTTCGTTCTTGCCGGCAGGTGTTCGTGTTGTGCTGTGTGTGGGCTGTGTGACACGCCAGACTCCTGGAGTCACAGGTTACCTTTGAGGACACAAATGTCCCAGGCTTGGCAGATTTTGAATTAGATGTTAAAAGAATGAGAACTTGCTGCACCAGTATGTAGCGTAATCCGTTTTGCAAACCTAATGTGTAGCTTACTACATCTTCATACAAGGTAAAAGTCATCGAGTCAGACTAATTTAACACAGTGAAAGCAATAATTTGTCCATTCTTATTTGCTGTTGCTGAAAACCACAACCAGGCCGCAGAGGCTGGTTGTGAACCAATGATTGTATCATAACCTCATCTGCTTAAACTGGAAGTTTAAAGGTAGGCAGTGAGAAAAGATGTGTCCAGCACTGTCTCCAGGCTTTCTGCTGCAGTGCTCTCAGTTACAGCTCAACATCCGTGTCCTGTAAGTGTGACCCACAGAAGCTGCAGTTGTTCTCTCAGCAGGAGAAGCAGACGTTGCACTGCTGCCCTGATACTGAGTGCAGTAGCAAGGGAGCTCTCTTGTCCCTACAGGTGCTGTTTTTAAGTACTGTCAGGCTGATGAAACAGCCACATTTTTCTTACTTGCTCATAACAGTCAATTGGCCTTTTATTCTTCCACAAACTGTACAGTAAGAATTAGTCCATATTGGTTGTAATAAGGAACTAATAGTTTTAGTTTTTTTCTTTTTCCCTTACAGTGAATTTGTAGTTCAATGCCAGTCTGCCTTCCACTTTAAAGTTATCTATAAAGAGTATGAGAAATTAAAATTTACTTGGAAGGTGATGCAAAGTCCCTTCCACAGTGTGTTTGATGCCATGGTGACACGCTCATACTGCTCCTGTAGGTACACAGCGTGTTCTTTGTCCTCGTGGAACGTGGACACCAAGTGGAGCAGCTGGTTATTTGATCAATTCTTAAAGACTTGCTTTGAGGGATACAAAATCGAACTCTGTTAAGCTGATGAAAAGCAGACAAGTAAAAATAATATCCTTAGTCACTTAATAAGTCAGTGTGATAAAGAAAATAGCCACAGCAATCCAGGTTGTTCACTGTGCAGCCAGCTAAAGGTGCTATTGCTGTCTCTGGCATTAACAGCTCAGAGAAAATAACATCAACCATTATCTGGAGTTTGCCTTTAAGAGCAGGAAAAGAACTTAGGAAAGCAGCCACTATCCTGGGTGTCATCAGAGCACTTGATTCAACCTCCACTACCTTCCTGCCACTGTTTGAGAGAGATTATTTGACTCTTATTTGGCTTGTAGCTATAGGAACAGAACTTTAGAATGTAATTCCAGCTTCACCCTGTACTAAAGACTAATTGTTTTTCTGACAAGCCTGGATGTCTTAATGAAAGAGCTCAGAATGTGAATTCAAAATACTTGGCAAAGCCTTTCTGAGGCTCACAGGAGAAAAATAAAAAGTCTGAGCAAGAAATGTTATGGCTTGGAGTTTCAAATGGTTCTTTGGAGGCATATGGAGAGTGAGTTTGTAAGCATCTCAGTAGCCAGCCCCTCCTCTTGCATAGTGCAGTTCCCAGCATGTTTGTGGCACTTCCAGCCCCATCTCAGTCAGGAACATCTGCTTCCTACTGCACTTCTGCAGAGCCCCTCTGGAGCTGTTGTTCTGGAGTTTCACCTCCAGAGACAAATTTTGACCTTTGAAAATATGTTATGTGGCCCCAGCAGATTACCAAATAGTGTTCATGTCTATGCTGCATCTTCTTTCTCCTTGCTGTCTTTTCTGAACCAGGCCCTTTGAAATTAAGTCCAGCACACTCTTCTCCATGTTGCAATAAAGTACTGTTGCCTCTGTTTAACTACATGTAACTGTACTTGCAGTGTTCAAATTACTGCTGCATGTGGCACAAAGTAGTAAAATCAGCTTTCCTATCTGAGTTGTTGTTGCCCACAGACTGCATATTTCCTCTAACAAGTAGTAAAAAGTACTGTTGTAGTTCTTCAGTGTGATAGTCTGTCTATTTCACATACATAAAGATAAGATAAAAAGATAGAGAATGAGGTGCACATAATATGGCACTAATTAAGATGAAGGTCTTGGTGAAGTTTTCCTTTGAGTTTAAAAGAAAAGCTTCAAATTACTTGATAATATATTTATTAAGAGAATCCACTGCTAAACATCTGAGAGAATAAAACAATAGAGGATCTTCATACACTTTAGACACCAAACACAGCTGTCATGAATCTCAAGGTTAAAAGAAAGCAAATTGCCCAGATCTTTGTCATGATTCTGTAGGACACTTCTGAGAGCTAACCTTTAAAAATCAATTGGAAAGACATACATCACTAAATCCAAGTATGATGACACATTTTAAAAATAAATATAGAAATATGAACAAGTCTACAAGTAGAATATTGCTCTGTCCACTCCAAGGAATGCAGAGCTCTTGCCTTCTTTACCTGGAAAGAGTGATCTCTCAACAACAGCAAAATTGGAACCATTAGGCCTAACTTCCAAGATACAGTTTGGCAGCAGCAAAAGCATGCTCAACAAATACAGTTTTGGAGCATCCCTAACCCTTTTTTTGCGTGGGAGATTAGGTAAGCATGACTGAAGTACCAACGGTTTACCAAGAGTCTTGATAAAGTTCAAACAATCCAGGGGTAAATTCCCCCAGTGGTGTTTTCATTAAGAAAGAATATCCATAATCACTTAAAATCAGCAAGCACTGTAACTTAAACATCTTACATTTTGGTCAGCAAACAAATGTAACCCAAATACAATACCAATTAGTTGATGACAAAATTTAAAACAATTTGGCACATGCTATAAAGACATTCTTCCTTAAGAGGTGAAATACATGTTTGAACAGGTACAAGCTTAGGAAATAGGACCAAAGTAGCGCTGTTAACAGATGTATGGGACAGGATTTGCTCTTCCACATTCAGACTCCAGCAGCATGCGTGGGTGTACTTGGCTGGTTAAGGCCTATGGTTGAGCAAAGCCATCCTGCAAAATCCACCTCCTCTGCTTCAGATCTCTTTATGAAAGCATGAATCTTAGTAGAGGAAAATAAAAGTTACTCAAACAGCAAGGCAACACGATGAGGTCAAGAATCATTTTGAATGAGCTACAATGTCTGATTTACTTTCTGTATTCACGTGGCTTGCCAAATCTTGTAGCAAGCTTAAGGCGACCAGTAGAGCTCTTCTGCAGGATTACTGAAATAATCAGCATATGAAGAGTCCATATTGCAAAGTATTCCAGAGGAATACGGCCTACACAGTGCTTACTGAAGGGTACTTACACCACAGTCCATGATAAGAATGTGACTCAGGCACTTGAGATAACACACACTGGAAAATGCCTGCTTTCATACAAGGGATTTTTGTAACAGAAAGAATTTGATTGTATTTTGCAGCCTTACTTACTATACAGCAGTATCAGGGCACAGAAAAATTTATTTTCTGCAGTACAACTTAAGCCCTAGCATTAAACTTGAGGCCATGACAAAATCCAGTGAAAGTCATTTCATGTAGAAAAAAATGCAAGATTTGTTTGTATCTAGTACAATCTAGATCTAGTACAACCTAGTTTTACAGATTATGCAGTACCAAGCTGATGAGGGAAGAGAAGCAAGCTTCTTTCCCAGAAACTGCTAAAACTTCATTTAAAGTAGTCCGTAAGGTTAGAGAAATTTAGTTCAGGTGTCCTCTTATATACTTTACGACTGGCTAATAAACAAAAGTAAAACCTATTTTGCTAATCAACCAAATGGCAGACTGTAAAACCTACACGGGGCTCCTCGACAGACCCTATTTTAAGGGTGTGTAAAAGCCTGAGGCCTCTAGATCTCTGGATAAGAGAAGCACTCCCTCCCCCCAGAACTGTTTGAGTTGTGTCAGGAGGCACAAATGACATTCTAGGCTTTACACTCTGACACTCATCTCAGCTCAATTGAGGAACCCAACCTGTAGGAATAGTGTTCCATTTCAAGTTAAAAACTTTCACTTACCATCAGCTGCTTCAAATCAGCTCTCTCAGCAGGATTTTTAATTAAACTACAAAAACAAAGCATTACACAGGTTACACTCAAAAGAAAGATCGCGTTAGATTGTGTTGGTATACTGTTTTTGTCCTGGGAAGACACCACTCTAGATAAAAGCATGAGGTTTTTTGTAAGCAGCTGCCTCTGTAGATTTCACAGATATAATTTTAGGTATGAAATCCTGAGTCATACAACATTGTTCAGTGGGGGCAGAAGTGAGAGTACAGAATCAGGCTGTAGAGATCAAATTTACATTTAAATTCAACAGTATCACACACTATCCTTCTAGTCTCTTTTACCCAAGTCTTTTCAGCTCAGTATCTAGTAGTTGTTCCTTTGTGTCACTGTTCCTTCTGGTAGAAATAGCTAATAACAGAACTAGTTTTGTTTTTTTTTTTTTAAGAAAAAACTTATTCATCTTGAATAAACTACTTCCCTTAAAACTGATCATACAGGTCCAGTACTTGGAAAAGTAAAAGAGGTGAGAAAATGAATACTGTGATAATGATTCAATGAACCATTAGAGAGGGAAAAAAGTATCTGGAGCATGCAAGACTTCTGCATCACATGGAATGCTCACTGCAGAATGCTCTGCACATTACTCATAAAAGTATGGATCCTCTTACAAAAGAGTTTTGCATGATCAGTCCTTTTAAGTACTGTGGTGTTTTCAATGCTGAGGAAGTACTAATTTCGAGTTGCCACAGAAGCAGAGATCATATCTTAAAGAGTGGAACACCTCCTAGCTTTGGTGTTCTCTTTGAATACATATGCTGTCAAGCTGGTGCCTATAAAATGAGCTTTAGGCGCATTAGCAGAGAAAATACTTACCATTTGTTAACAAAATCTTGAAATTCAGAACCAAAAACACCATTGGGCAGTTTCGGAGGTGGCTGAAAACAAATTAAAACAAAAAGAGTCCCATCAGTTAAAGCAGAAGGAACAATGCTGTACAACCTACCCAGAGTCTACCAGCTAAGTCCAGCATCTGAGTAAAGCTGCCCTGATGCTACATATGCCTTCTTTCCAGAGCTGAGCTCTCAAGCAAGTATCAGGCAGACTCACAGACTTCAGTTTTCAGGCTGACAGCCCAAACAAGGACATGTCTCATACTGCAGTCATAACGATCAGAACCTGACTTACCATAACATTACCCCTATATTTCCATCAAATTTTGTATTTTAAAAATTTACAATTAAATTAGTGCAGGTAGTTGATTACCTCATTGACGATATAATCCAGAAGTTCAAAGATCGCCATTGGGGGTCTGCTGTCTGGTCCATAGGCTAAGAAGAAATAAGGTAGGTGGGAAAACACAGTGTCAGTCTCGAGAGGCAGGGCTGTTTTCCAGAAGCTAAAAGGCATATGCTTGATTCCTGCATGGCAGAGTTTCTGGGCACCCAGTAAATTCAAAGGGAGAAAGTGGAATAGAAACAGAGTAATACTTTCATTCCAGGAGAGATCATTACTGTCAAGTCTGATCCAAATCATTAACTTCACTGAGAATCTATCCTGTACTTGGATATCGTTGCTTCTTTGGAGATGAACCCTACTAACAGAATGCATCTTAATGGCATTCAGAAATGGTTACTAGCATAAGGACATCTGGTCCTTGATTTTCAAGCTCCAATACCTTCTAATAGTGAGACTGAAGCAGATGCCCTATCCAACCTTGTCTGTTCCATTTTTATTTACTTAAAGTATAAAGCTACATTATGCAGATCAATACTAAATAAGCGAGAACCTAAGCTTGCAGCAAAGCATATCAGAAAAGAATTTGATTTTATATCTTAGTTTTGTATGTCTTTTGAACACTTCAGAGATGCCTCAGTGGTACAGATGGCAGTTTACTTGGTATGGCTCACACTGGCTTGTTTGATCATTAACTGCTTTATTTGCCTCTCACATTGGAACTTACAGCTCATTGGTCGACCAGGTGTTCTTTGCCTGGGTGAGGTCTCTGTGACTGGAGAATCTCCCTCTACCGGGCAGCCAAACATCAACTCGAGCTCTTTAGAGTCAGGAGGAGGAATGGGGTATCTGCCAATGGCCATTTCTACCAGAGACAGCCCCATACTCCATATATCCGACTGCACTGAATAATGAGTTCCCTGCAGCCTTTCCGGCTACCAGGAGGAAAAAAAAAAAAAAAAAGAAAATGTAAAATGTAGACACAGTAAAGTACTGTAACAGAGAAGTTTAAAGTTGTATTCTATAATAGCCTGAATAAAGCAGGTGATGAAACCCCCATACATTACTATGACACATTCCAATGAGCGACATAACTTCCTATTCCAGGAATCCCATCCACAGTTCCAGAATTTCTACAGACTTTGTATTACCCTACAAATAAATGAGACTTTTTACAAGTGATGCTACCACACTGCTGTTTTACATCTTTAACACAATATCTAAATGCTGCAACTATTAATAGTGATGGGATAATTAAAGAACAAGGAAACAAAGCTAGTAGGGGCAAGTAAGCATTCACCTGGCTTCTCTAAACCAGGTTTTATGTTTTGGGAAAGAGAGGGATGGTACATTTATGTATGGGTGCAAAAGTGACGTGGTGCTCTAGCAGTAACCCTGCAGTCTGTCATTCTTGTCAGCTGGTATCATTCACACAGGTCCCTGGAGAAGAAATGTATTTATGCAAGAGCTACTACATGTACAGGCATGCTTCGGTTCTAGATCCAAATTCAAATAGTTTCTAAATAAACTGCTGAGCTGTGTAATCTATTGATGTTTCTGTTACAATTCACTGCCACATCAGCTCGTTTGAAGCCATTTGGAAAAACCACATGATTTCTGAGCTGTGGTTAAAGATGCCCCAAAAGGAAAATATACAAACATTCATTGAATGTAAGCGTAAAGAAGCCTGCACAATATATATATTTAAAATCTAGAAAATGTATTCAAATTAGGCACTGTTGATTGCACACACCCTCACGTAAGAGAAGATGATGTTCTTTTGCATGTAACAACTCTCCAGCTGTCATTTTAAGTAGTATGCTAAGGGAGATACTGCAGGAGAAGGTACTTCAGACAGTATTAGAAGAATAAAAGTCACAGTCATGGCTTGGACTGAGACATAAAGCAAAGCTGAATCTCAGTCTCTTAGAAACAAGAAATTGAAAAAAAAAAAAAAAAAAACCTGAAGTAGGCAGCACTCTGCTCTTGTTCTTTCTACCAGAAGAAAAAAGGAAAGCCAGTAGCATGCCAAAAGCCTCAAAGAGATTTTTTTAAATGCTGTTAGCAACAGCCCCTAAGTGTGTGTGTGGGAACATAAGCCACAGTTATTTCAAGTATGTTACCCATACTAAATGGCAAAAAAGAGAAGACTGACTTTGATGTAGAAATGCAGGTCCCATGCTGAGCAGAAGCAGCATTATTATGCTTTTTGTCCTTTAAGTTCAAGCCCACAGAGTTTCAATTCTACAGCAGAAATTCCGAACGCTCTGATTTTATGAGGTAATTGGTTGCATGCTGAACAGGTAAGTATATTAGAAAAGCAGATCTTTTATTTCCATTAGCAATGACCTTCACATAATGCACAGTTCCCTTGAAGAGCAAGTTTCAAGGTACTCCTTGCGAACAGGAATAAAGAGCACACTGCAATAAGTCACAAAGCAGCTGCCATGGCCTTGCCCACAATAGCCACTCCCATGCTTTTCCTTGCTACCAGAGCCACACAGTTCTCAGGAGCAGACACAACAGACCCACTAATGAGGGAGCTGTGTGCCTCCCTAAGTGACTGCAGGAGAAAGCTGGAGTGGAAAGCATGGGAATTAAATAAGGAGAACAAGACATAAATACTGTCTTTTGTAAACTGTAACTGCAAATGCATTAACCAACTGGATTCTGCAGTGTAGATGCAATTGCAGTCTTCTGTAGTGTTATGAAAATATCCCACATGTTCGGCTTCTTTTGCCACAGTTCTCTCCCCCACCTCCAGTGTGATATCATACTGGAATATTCCTGGAATGCAGGAAGTGAAACAAACTATGAAAGCAATAGAAATAGCCACAACAGCTGGTTTTGTGTTTGATTATTCATGATAACTCCACCATAATGCACAGTGAGCTCAAAGCTCTCAGATCTGTACTTACAGACATGTAGGAGCGCGTGCCGACAAACGAGTTTGCCATAGAATCTATCAGTTGTCCACTGACACCAAAGTCACAAAGCTTGATCTCACCTCTAGAGTTTACCAAAATGTTAGATGGTTTAACATCTGGGGAAAAAATAAAAAAAAGGATGGATGATTTTATATTTATAATAGATAAAAATGTAGAATTTGACAATGAAAGCCAGGCAGGAGGTGACAATTAAGCACACATCTAGCTACACCATAACTCCTGTGGCTTCTTCAGTATTCCCAGAGAAGAGAGCAGGTTCCCTACCCAGGCCCAACTCATGAGCTCTCTTTAGATACACATAAATGAAAATAAACTTCTTAAAATACATGTGCAAAAACGACAGTTTTAGATTTGGATTTCACCCACTTTCATGGCTTTCAAATATTAAGCTTGTGCATCTACAGCCTCCTTGCAATGGCAGACATCTGAGGTATGCTGCCATGCCAGCTTAACCACTCTCTAGTAGTGTTCTTCAGTCCACAAATAATCGAGAAGCCCTACACATTAATTTCACAAAGGTCAGTGAACTTTGGCAGCCACACCACCATCCCCAACCCAGTCTGTGTGCACATAAGCTTAAGCTATCCCATAGCAAACCTTTATTTTTTTAACCTACTGTGAAAAAAAAAAAATCATCCTATTATTGAAGTGCTGCCCTTAAAATACTTAGAGACTGTTCACCTGTGACAGAACTCCCTTATGGCTTTAAATTCATCACCAGCTAAATGGAAAGCTTAATGAGGGTCAGTGGTAACTAAGCAACTATTAACAGCTTTTGTGAATGCAAAGGTACTGAAAACCATTTAGGATTTCTTTAATAGGTGTGAGAAGTTCTGTTTGGTTTTTTTTTCCCCCCTAAAACTGGTCTTTACCAATGCATCATCAATAGCTAACATGTAATGCTACAAGTTAATTATCAGGAAGTAGTTTTGGAAGAAATTATTCCACTCATGGTATCAGAGTTTTACTTCTTTGATTTTTTTTTTTTTTTTTTTTCTTCCTTTTAGACACAAATTTCATGTCACTTGTTTTGGTGACTGCAGAACTGACCTTAGTTTGATGTCAATGAGGAATCACAGGAAAGATTACACTAACGTGACTCTCATCACTGGAAGATGATCCCCATGCAGGAGGAGATCCCTCACTGAACAAGATCCCTCAGGATTGAAAACGAAGACCGAGCTGTATTTCAGTTGTTTCTCCCTGAGGAAACCCAGAACTTCAACGCGTGGCTACATTTATTTGCTTTTAGAAATTGTGACTGCACTTTGTGGTTCCTGAAATCACCTTTCTAAAAGCAGGAAACTGATGCTGTCCAGCACACTGCATACACAAGTTCTTCTCCAGCTTGCCCACTTCACTTGGAATGAGCATCAGCCCATAGAAAATCCCCACAGTGACATCACTGATAAACTACTCCCCAGTCTTAACACAAAGGAAATCACATCCGTGCACAGCTTCCTTCTCCTGTAAGGAAAGAAAATCCCAGCTGCTTTTGCTTTTCCCAGGTACATGGGAGCCTTCAGCTGATGTTCTGTGTAAAAGCAAAGTAGGAAGTGGTGTCTGCAAAATAAACCAGAAGCACTGCAGAGCCTGGACAAATTCTAGAGGCCATATTTGTTGTGGGGCAACACATCCATGCACTTCAGTTCAGTACAGACAAATCCCCAGTTACCTCTACAGCTCATTAATATTTCATGTTCATAATTAAAGGGCAAAAAATAACATTAGCATTCCACTGCCAATGAACCAGATGACATTTTCCTTATAAAAAAAAAAATCACATTCTAGAAACCATCTGATCTTATGAAGACTTAACTTCTACCTGTAGCATTTTGCCAGCTTATATTTAATTACACACCACAGCTTCCTCACAATAGCACAGCACGTCATGACTGCTCACTGGCATTGTATACAAGATCTGCCCTACCCTGAGCATTTTCATTTCTCTCAAAGCCTCCAGTGATCAGAATGTGATGTTAAGAATGCTGCTGTCTTTCCAGTCCTCTAAATGCAGCCTGCAGTGCTATTTTAACTCCAGAGTGTCTGAGAGCTTAAGCAGTTTCTCTGGAAACCAAAAAGATCTGTAATGCCAAACGAAACAGGAATGCCAAGGTATGCTTCAGAAATGTGTGCTCTATCATGCAAGAAAAGGAAAAATCTAGAAAGGAAGAGCAGGTTTGCTACAGAAGCAAAGTACATAGCTTTAAAAGAAAATGAAAGGACCTCTCATGCATCTCTGTGGTCTGTTTAGCAGCAGGGCTGTGCAGTTCTGGAGATGCTCTTAAGTCAGTCCGGACAGGTGGCTATGGGACACTCAGCATTAACTAGCTCCCTCTTCAAAAGAGAATTTCTGGGATTAATAGGCTGTCATGGAACATTGACAAGGTGCCTCCTGTGCCTCAGCCCTGCTCAGCCTCACAGGAGCAGAAGCTAGTTCAGGATGAAAGAGTGAAGGCACCAGACATTACTGCAACAATTCTTTTTGTAGGGAAGCTGAGTAGCCAGGCACTTGAGAATGTCTTGGAGCACATTATGGGCATCTTACAATCACCCAAACGTTTCAAAGAAAGTACATACCTGTTGCCACAGGTTCTCAGCTGTACAGCTATCCTCTGAACACTCAGAGAAGCACAGCCCAGACCTTCAAGACAGGAGGGGCATCATACTTGTCACAGTTGAAAATGACCTTAGCTGCTCCATCCCTTTGCAATATCTATCACACACACATAACCAGGAGCCTTCTGAGAGCTTTTCCCACATGATGATTCCTGCTTTAAGTAATTTCTCAGGAATCTTGTGAGAATGACCTAGGAAATAGCACACTAGAACAGACTTAACAGCAATCCCTCTGTGTTGTACCTCCTGCCCTGGAGCTGTAAGCTGCAACAGAGCTCAGAAACCTCACAGAGCACTTCTGTGCAAGAGGAGACTTTCCAGACATTATTATAACCCAGACTGTACTTAAAAAGAATTGAACTTTGATTAATTTATAGTATTTCTATTTATTCAGAGACAAAAAAAAAAAAAAAAAAAAAAAAAAAAAAAAAACAAAAAAAAAACAGCAAAAAGTTTGAGTATATTAAAAACTTGTCAAAACACTTTGCAATTAGAGACAGGACATTCATTTCCTTTTCATTTGCTGCTTTCCGGTGTTAACCACAAAAGTAAACCAGAGCACAGAAGTAGCACATCTATACATGTCACTATTACAAGTATCTTTATTCAACAGAATAGGAGCTGCTGTGAGACAGCACCTACCATGGTCATGCTCCTTGCCCCTTCCTTTTCTGTGCCTGCTTTCTATCTCACCATTTGTCTTTTGAGAGTTTGGCAATTTCTACCTTGTCTTTTCAGAGAACCCAAACAAAGCACGGTAGTCCAGATGAGGCAGCAGTCTATAAAAAGATTATTTTCCATTCCCTCCTTAATAACCCCTAATGACTTCTTCCTTGAGCTGTCTGTAATGACACCTGAATGCTTTGCCTCAGAAGTCACATCTAGTTCAGGCCACATCTGTGCATGTGAGCACACTAAATTGAGCCACGTGATGCAGCAACCACATCCCATTTTTGGGGGGTCCTTTATGATTGTCACAACTACTTGATCAATGAAATGCAATGAAAATGCATCGACAAGTTCTGCAGATTTTTTTTCTTATTTTATTCCTTCCTTTCAGCTCAGCATTATTTGTCTAAAAGCAGTCTCTTGCGTTCAGAATGCAAGACACTATTTCCTGCAGGTGATTACAGAGAAGCTGTTCACATCTTGCCATAAGAGCCTTACCATGAAGTGCACTCCTGTCCATGATGATATCATAGCAATCCTTTGTTTTACTGCCCCACAATAATGCCAAAATCTCAGTTGCCCTAACTATCCTCTACTGCCATCAACCACACCAAAACAGACCTTCAACTCCCTACTCAGAAGTACCCATTCTCTTAAAATAAAATAGTGCTTTGATGGTGTTGCATAGCTCAAGAAAAACAGGTCCTCCTTAAACTGTCCTTTATGCACTAAATCCATTGAACAGTCCACTTTAACAGCAGAAGTACACAAAACATTATTTGAGGCTGCTGACAATCTCACTTAGACTTATTCTCCTTCCCCAGTCAGATTTCTGCAACAGAAGACAACGAACATTTGATTTGTAAAACATTCATAGGTGAGACAAGTCAAGGAACCAGAAAACAAGCAGGATGCCTACAAGGTTCCAAGGATGCACAAAGACTCCCCCAGACCTTATTTTCCAGTCTTGCACACTATCAAAACCAGTCACTGAGAACTGCATGCTGATCTGCTGGCTATGTAACAGCTGTTTTGGTTTAGAACAACTCTCCCCCACACCACCTTTTTTGTATGCTTACATTTTACCTCTAACCACTAAGAGACATTTCATAGCATCATCCACCTCTGCTCCTCCCAGCACACTCTCTCACCTGGTCATTCCAAACTGTTGCTGATACTATGATGCCAAATGCACTGAGGGACTGAATTGCTCCCTGGAAATGAGTTACCACAGACCTTGCTCTCTTGAGATTTAAGAAGGGTTTTTTTTTTTTGCTCTTCTTTCACACACTAGTGTTTAGTGAGGTTATCTATTTATAAGTCTCCTGCTCTCACCACAACACAAAATCAAAATCCTTGTTAAACCAAACCCTAAAACAAGGCATACGTGTCAAGTGTGGGTCACACCATGTCAGTGCAGGACTGATAATCAGAATGCAGAAGGTAGAAAATGTAGAACACGTCTCTAATGATTACAGCTTGCCTCTAAAATAATGCTCACTCAGTTACACCAAAAGAAGTGTGCTTTTAGTAGTACTATTTATTTCAGCTGGGATTCAAGAATTAAGCAGTCTGGAAAAACATAACTATCAGAAAGAGCTGCACCTGCACTAGAAGGGTTTTCCCAGGTCAATGTACTGCTATTGCCATGCTGCAGACCTGGCCTCAGTTTGGCTTTGCAAGATAGCCCCCTTAACCCAGGGCTGTGTGATTCCAAGAGTTCTTAAAGAATAAACTCATTAAAAAGCCTAAGAACGTAAAATGGGGATGTAAGACCTTGTAAGAGACATGTGGCTTTGCAACTACCATCAGAAGACTCTAGGAGTCTCCAGTCTCCTTTCTCCAGTTTCCATTCTCCAGCAGAGAGCTATATTTGATTGCTTTAAAAAATTAACAGTGACGTATAATAAACACAATCTACTTCACGTAGAAGGTGATCGTACAACAGATTGCATAAATCAGACTTGGCCAGCAATTAGCAAACATGCTCAGACACATTAATGTCTGATAAAGATATTTTTACAGTCTCAAGATTGGTCTCATATGGTACGAGACTCAGCAAACAGCTGGCATGATGCACACATACTGCACAATCACTGTATGAGTGCTGCCATTCAAACCAAGATACGAAATGCTCCACTTCCACTCTTCAGTTTACACATGTCAGGAACAAGGGAATTTATTACCTTATCATATCAAGTGTCATTTTTCTTTCATGGAACTTGTCACAGATTAATGGAAGAGCTAGGTTTCTAAAAGGGTAATTATAAGCTGAAAATAAGGCAGGGCATTTATTTTACAATAAAGTAACCCTGGCAGTACAGAAGTGACAATTTGATGTAACTACAGAAAAAAAAATGTTTTTAGGAGTCTATAAATACAGAAGTTATTATCCTGCAAGACAAATGTTTATAAGTGGTATGCAGAACAGCTGGTAGAAACACCAACTTTCACAAGTCAGTACATCAAATATGGTTGAACAACTCAGCTCCTTTAATATATTCCTATCTTGCTTGCAAAGTGAGTATCCCTGCCTCAAGTTGGATTCCCAGCTCCCAGCTACACAAGCAACCCTGGCAGCAAGCAATTTCAACCAGAGACAAATTCTGTGTGTGCTATAATATAAGCATACATAAACATACATAAAGTAAGGATAGTAGAAGCTGAAGACCGATGACATTTCTTACTGCAGTAAGAAATGGTAAGTTTATTTTACGCTGCTAAAAAAACAACCAAAAAAATCCCGCAAAACCCTCTGAATCAAAATCCTATTGAACCACAAGGCATTTATCATGGAAGTATTTTTAACTTCAATAAAAAATTATATTGACAGAGACTTGCAATATAAAAGTTTATCTCACCTCTGTGCATTATTTTATGCTTTTCTCTCAGATACGTGAGTCCTTTTATTACCTGAAAACAAGTAAAATAAAAATTTTACATTTACAAAAAAAAAAAAAGATAATTGCATGCTTTTCTTCTACAAGGATTCTAATTGAATACTAATTACATTTTGGGGCTTCTGTTACATTAACATTACAAGTGAATATTTTGTTTAAATTTACCCCTCCAGCTCTTACTGAAAAACAGACTCAAGAGGATCCTCAGTGTATGTTTTGCATACACACAGCTTGTTGAACAGTAAATACCAGAAGGATAATATTAAGAAAAACAATTAATGAAATGTTACTTCTGTTCTTATCCAGAAGCATCCACTGATACAAAGGAAAATGAAAGCAAATGCAGTGAAGTGTGTGACTTGTTCTGGGCTACCAAATAATGACCTGTACAGAGATTGCCTTCTTTTAAAAGAAAACACTTCAGAACTTAGGAACACTTCTCTCTGCCTCATCTTTCAATTCTGGAGTGGCTGCTTCCTGTGTTACTGAGCCGAGATGCACACACACCCACCCACAGCCTTTGGGAGCAACGAGCACACTTACTGCAATGCTGACTTTGCCCAGTATCTGCTCTGGAATTCTTCCAGCCTTTTTCAACACTTGATCCAATGAGCCACCATCCTGGGAATAAATGTTGCAGTAGTCAAGCTTTAATCAAACTTCTCTAAAATATTTTTTAGAATATAAGACTCTAGGCTGAAGATTGCATTTAGTGAGAAATGTTACTTCTCACATTTTAACATTGTTATGATCCATATCTAAAAGAAATCATTCCTTAATGGGAATTACTGCATTTTATGCTTACTTTCTGGCCAGGAACAACATCCACTCAAACACTTTACACAGTCATCTTTGATACGAGTACCTCCATGGTCTGACACTTGTTTAGAGGGGCTGCCCACAAACAGCTGTTGACCAAACATCACGAGTTCTACAAGTGTCTGCAACTTGCAGTTTGATGCACCACCATACAATGCTCTTCTCCTCCAAAGATGGAATAAGGAGGACTGCAGTACAGAGTATTTTGTTATTGATCATCAGGGTGCAAATGCTGGAAAATATAGAGCTGCTTTTCAAATATATAGGTGTTAATAGCACTGTGATGATAATTACATCTGTCCCCCTCGTCCCCAGAGTAGATCCTACAGAGAGGAAGTTGACTTCTATTAGCTCTGTGCATCTGGAGTGATTGTCAGCTTCCAAGGGAAAAAAGCACCAAAACGCAAATAAGTGTGTCATGGTTTTATGCTTTTTCCATTGGTATTCCACATTACACCACACAGTGCACTGGGAGTTAAAGAGTTAATGATGTGGAACATCGATGAGAAACCATAAAACCATGACAAAATGCTTCTTAAAGTTCCACCACAAATAACAGCCTTACTAATCTTAAGAGGTTAAATAAACCAAATGCACGCACAGACACCCCAAGCAATGTAAAATACACTGCACTGTTGCTAAGGGCTTCTAAGAAGGAAAACTGGCTTAGTATTTTGAACATATGAAGCAACAAAAGGCTTGTGCATAAATTTTAGATTCTCCCAAATACAGAACACGCAGAGACACTAGAATGTTATTTCTCAAGTTTAAAAGGAAGAAACAAAAAAACAGATTGTATCTCCACGCAATGGAGGCAGAAATCCAGCATGACCAAGTGATTTCCTTCTGCCTTAACCCACCCTTCAGCAGTTTGCATATCTAAATGGTGATGAAAGGAGAAAAGCTAGAATAAAAAGCTTTAGAATTTGAAGACTAACACCTAAAAGTCTTATGAGTAAGAAGAGGTAATAAAGTTCTTCACTTGATTAAAAAAATGCACCAGCGGATATGTATAAATATATACATAAATGTACAAATATACATAAATCCAAATAGATGAAGTATTACATAGGCAGACTGCACTTCTTGACAGCTATCTCTGCCACAACACTGTTATATCAGCAGATCTCTTACAGAAGAGAAAGAACCTCTTCTTACCCCCTGAGGAATGGCTCCAATTCTGGAAGATGCTCAATACAACTCAGCTGCCTGGAAGTGCTGGCTGCAAACATCAGCATCTTTCAGGAACAGACTCCAACCTTTTTGCATGTTAAATACCTGCTGCTAAGCAAGACTAAGCACTCATTTTGAGTTTATGCACCTAAAATACCAAACCCTGAAGTCATCAGTTTCCAGGCCTTTTCCACCTGTAATTTGTTTGAACATGTTTTGCTAAAGTATGGATTTTGACTGATGTTAATTAAATGAAAGGAGATTCAACTAATCTCTTTCCCAAAAGGAATGCACTTCCCACCTAGTGATCTGCATTACGTCAACAACTTAATCACTTAATTAAGACTACAAGTAATCCACCTTCATTGTTCCATATCTCCTTAATCAGCTCTTCTTTTCATAAAATCCTGGATCTAGTCCATTTAATTCAGCACTGAACAATAGATTTCATACTGCCTTCTCTTATATTGAAAATATATCTCTGATGGTGGATACCTTTGCCTATTTAGGAACTTCCAAATCCCAATTGCTCCTGTTATTTTATTCCTTGCAGATGTGAACATTCGTGGCATTTAATCATCTATGTAAGCAATGCCCAGTTATTTTAACATTGTTCTTGTTTCTCATTACCGTTCTTAATTCTGAGAAGCTAAGTTCTTTGCAATTCCCAATAGTCACTCGTATTTTAGGAGTGTGCATTTTCTACTCAGATTGAACATGCTTTAAAAAATGGATCGTGATCACTTGTTCCTAAGCAACCATCAATTTCTTCTAAAAATTTCAGTAGGAGAAGACCAGAGAAGCACTAAAACAATCACACGTACTTTCCAGAGAAAGTAAGGTTTCTCTCCAAATAAACAGTTTTGTCAGGGAAAGAAGTCTTCAGACTTACTGCATTGCATGTTGTTAAAAAATTCCTCAAATAAGCAAGGAAAACATTCATTAACCTTTAATTACAGAAAATTCACTTCACATTTGCCTTTCTATAACCACAAGGAGCCACACAGTGCCTAGAATAATGAGTACTTTTCTATTGAAATGAAACTCACTAAGATATTTTTGGTCTTTAAAACACTGTCTAAATTCCTCGTGAGCTTGTTCACCTCTTGTGAACTAATTTTTGTCTGCATTTCCTGTAAAAATTTGGAAGAGACAAAACATGGATTCAACTGAACCACAAGAAATTACTTTCTCGTTATGAAAGCTACTAAGGAGCCCATAGGTGTCATACCAATCAGTGTCATCTGGTCCACATGCTCTTAATACTGCACAAAATCAAACCTAAAACAGAACAAGCATCTGAAGATCAAGATCAGGTCAATATTTTTAAATTCTGAAGCATTTTATATCAAGTACCATGGATATAGGAGAAGAAATATAGGGAATATGAAATGGTTTCAGATTCTTTACTCACACAGGAAAGTCTACTTTGTTAATTCCTGACACTCACATTTTGAATGAACAACCTGTTAAAAACTTCAGGTTACAACTGATTAGTATGCACTTACCATGTGTTCCATGCAAATGCTGATTTCCCCATCGCTGTAAAAAGCTCCATAAAAGCCCACTATGTATGGTGAATTGCACTCATGTAGAACCTGCAGCTCACGGATGATCTGGTTTCGAATAGCTGGCTTGATCTCTAGATGAATCAACTGCAAAATAATCCATTCTTATTATTCTCTTAGTGGCAAGGGATCTTCTAGAAAGAAGAGTTTGTTCAGAGGGTGTGCAGCTCTACGCCCCAGAAGTTTCCAAAGCCCAGATGGGTAACCCTGCCCACTCTGACCATGCAAGTGCCTGCTTTGAGCAGGTCAGCCCTTGCAGCCTCCCAAGGCCCTTTCCCATCACAGCTATCCTATGGCTCAACTGTAAAGTAATTCTTACTTTCATAGCAGCAAAGGGAAAAATAAAACACTACAATACACCATGAGGAAGTTGAAGCATTATTGGTCATGAGAAATACTAGATTAAGAGCAAAAACATGAAGAAGTTATCCCTAAAATAGACTGCATTATATAAACCAACAGATGTTCTCCAAGTATTCTGTCTCCATGCCATCTCAGAGAGAACCTCCAAATCTTTTAGGAATTTCTCATTAAAGAATGGCCAAAAAAATCCTATTTTGCTTAAAAGTTTAAGGAGTAGAAGCTATTACAGGAAAGTCTATTAGAATGACTGACACTACCCCATTACTGGCAAGTAATACTGTTACACTGAAAAAGGTTAGGGTCTGATAAATCAGTAACAGCATCTGGCAGGACTGCAGAATGTCATGTGCAAGACCTGAGGGTAAGATAAGTTTATCAATAGGATGCTGTTTTCATACATAAATTTTTAAGGGGAAAGATGTTTCCCATCCACAAGCTGCAGGAGTAGCATCAACATCCTGGGTAAGTCTTCAGTATTTTTTCTCCTCAACTCAAAGTTCTACCGAAAGAAAATCTGAATCAGTATCTATTACATAAAACAGAAAAGAATTTATAGTTCCCCCAATATGGACAGAAAGTAAAAAATAAGCAATCAAAATCTCAAATTCTGATTATGGAACTAGAAGTTAATATATTGAAGAAAACTGCAGTTGCATCCAATGTTGATGAATTAGGGTAAAATTTCCTGTTAAACTTATAGTATGTAAAAAAATAATCAGGTAAATTTATTTAGTTCAAGAAAGCCTCAGTGACTTCCATGTGTCTTAATTCCCACCCTCTTACAGCAGGCATTTTTCAACACTTCTCTCAACTGTCACTATGATGAGCATGGTTATTACTAAAGTCAGTATGTGTACATCTCCCTTTATTTTTCTGAAGATAACTGCTCTCTTCTTCAAAGGCCTACAGCAATTTCTTTAAATTCCCAATTGAAAAATGGAAATTTTCAGTGTAGTACAATAACAGCATCTGCCATTTGAGCATGCCCTATGCTTGATCATGCTGGAAGGCTGCACTGTTTCCCACTAAGCAGGTTACCCTGCCAGCTTCCTGACCCACTGTGGTACACTGATGCACGTCCAGACACACTGATCCTTAAGAAGTGCCACCTGTGCAGGGAACATCATTCGCAGAAGGAAAAGGCATGAGGTACCAGAACAGAAATAATCCTTTAGAGTCACAGCTGCATCTCCATAACTGTATTTGGTTCCCAGGGATTTTGAGAGAGAGTGAAAGCTCCTCTTATATATGAGATTTAAAATATCAAGCTATTTAAGGAACAAATTCTCAGTTCTCTTATAAGGTAGGTCACAAGTGCTATTGGTTTTGCAGCATAAAGCTGAATCATTGATATGCACTATCCCCAGAAGGTTGAGTGCCTTTTTGCACAGAATCCACCTCCGCCCAGAAGGAAATTGTAAAACAGGAAACATCACTGTATTCCAGCACATTCCCTCATCTTAAGTTTTCTGAGCTTTCATTTTTTTTCAGTATCCTCTGGAGGCCCTTTCCTGGTCTGCAGCTGTAAAGGAAGCTATTACAGAGCATATGTTTTTTCCATTCCTCTAAACTTTTGACCCAGAGTACAAGATATTACTACTTTCCCTAACTCATAGCTTTTGGTAACTCTGCAGGCCTCCTACTTATAAGTGAGGCGACTGCATTTTCTCCCAAAGACATACACAGCTGAAAAGATCCCATTTGTCAAAATGAAGAGAAAGGAGAAGATGAAAGAAGTAATACTTAACCTCTCACCACTAGCATGGAATGCTGATTCTGAGAAATCAGAAGCACAGGATAAGCAAGACTAACTTCTCCTACTTTCCAGTAAGTTGGCACTAAGCAGTCCTTTGTGTGTCAGCACTTACTTCTCCGAATTGTATTTCAGAGAGCCTGCTTAATAAAGATTGTTCTAAATGCCTTGGTTTCACAGCACTCACCTTTCTTGCCATGATGAGGCCAGAAGGCTTGTGAGATACTTTGAACACCACCCCACCATTCCCTGCTCCCAGCTCACTGATCTTCTCAAAGTCGTCATCCTTCAGCTCCCCAACTTTTTGTTTCTGGGTAAGGAAAGCTTCAAGGCGTTTCCGTTGCTGTTCATCCAACTCTAGCTCTTCCAGCTTCTTCTGAAGCGCTTCCAAGTTTGTCCTGCACAACAAAAAGAACAAGCTGGCTGTCAGGCAGGTCGAGCTTACTCAGCAGTGCTGAAACAGGAAGAGCAATAGACCACTGAGCTCACAAACTGAATACGTTATATTCTGCACCTATACATGTGTTATCTAGAAGGAACAGACTTACACAGTCATCCCCATGAGATAGATATTACTGGATCTCTGTTTTAAGAAAGCAGCATTTCATTTCAGAGAAAGCAGTGACAAACACAGGCAATACCCAGTTTCCTGCATCGTTGAGGTGCTGTCTGAATTCACACGTGTTAAGTTCTGGTATCAACAGGAGTGGGTTTAATGACTCAGCAGCATTCCTGATCACAGATCTCGTGAATCACTGCACATCTCTCCAAGCTGTATTTAGTTCCATTTTCAAGGATTACATTGTCTTTTCCAACAGAGCCTGTGTTTAATCCATTGATTTTTCACAAAATTAGATAATTAATTCATGTAGAAGCTTCTCAACTAGATATCATTAATTATTAATTTTTTAATTAATTTTATTAATTTTTTAAATAATTAGACTTCAGATCCTGAGAAAACACTCCACCCCAGTTATTTGAAAACTTAAACGCCCATTTAAAATCCCCTGTTTCCAGCTGAACCTGTAGATTTCCACAGGAATAAACATTAACAGCAAATATCTGATTTGTTCAGCCAAATTTAAGGCAATGTTCACAGGGAATGCAGAATGAAAGACTGGAAGAGAATCTACTTCTACAGTCTACACCACTCTCCATTAAAGATAATAAAATACAATTAAGATTCACCTGTAAGCAAAAGAACCATTTCTGTGCATCACTTGATAACACATGCAGCAGAGAGGCACGTTCCCTGAGCAGCCAGGATGGTGCTGTGAGGACGAGGCTGATTCCCCAGGACACAATGACAAAAAACACTCAGACTCCGTGGGACAAAGTCCCAGGGTGAAACCCTCAACTTCCTAATGAGGAAGCCTGCACCTCCAGACATGATAACAATCTTGATTTGTGCACCCCAAGGTACAGGACACATAAATAATACAAAGCCCACAAGCATTCACGGCCTCTTCGCTGCCAAATGATCTCTCAAAGTTTAAGCAGTGCCACACTCTTACTTGGTTTATCAGTTTAAGCATGTCAGACAGGATGCAATCACAGCTACCATCGGAAGTGATAACACTTAGAAGAGGTAAACAAAGAAGGTGACAGAATGAGACCTCTGATAGAAAGGTGAGCTGTGTTCTGTCACTTGGTTTTGTGTTTAGTCAGTCCAGGCATAGAATTAGCAAATGATGAGAAAGTAAAGCCTATCTGCATGCTAAAAAGAGAAAATAAAGAACAAGTTCCACAAAAACACTTGCCTTGGGTGAACGCACTTGGGGAAATGCTGCTCAAAACCAGAACAGTCTTACATGGTAAACTGATAAACTTTTTCTACTGAAATTACACCACAGAAATAAAAGTAATTTATAGTGCATGTGCTCCATTTCTGAGCTATCCTACAAAAAGGAAATGCCACCTCATTTCTGGCCTCATCCAGTGCTTCATACCAGCAGCATCGAACTGGAAGGCAGCCACATAACAAACACCCTAGAGCATCCCAAGGAGCTTCCTTCTGCTGATAATAAGCACAACTCACACGAACATCATAAGTCTGTACATCAGATTGACTCACGAGATGACCCACAAAAGAAACATTTTTGAACCCTGATTACTAACATTAAAATGAAGCAGATATATCACCAGATGCTTTATTTCCAGCTCACCCACTGAGACCTTATCAGGGAACTTCAGTTTCCTTTGGGAGAAAAAAAAAAACCAACAAAAAACCACAACCCCTTCCAATCTGCCCTGGCAAGAAGCCATCCCTGCATTCATGCACAAATTCTGAGGAGGAATGCTGAACTCACTGTCATTTTACAGACTGCTTAAGGCAGGGCTGCTCACTTAGAACAATAGAGGAACCAGAGCCACAGGAACAGAACTCGCCATAGCTTTCCTCACTCTGCTTGGGAGAAAACAGTTATTGAGTTTTTGCTCTGAAGCAGAAGAGCCTTTCTGCGCCTGGAGACAACACCAGGATGCCTGTGCACGTGGCCTGGAGCAGACAACGTGCCAGTGTGAGGGAACAAACACTCAGTCAGGCCGATGCTTCGGAATGAAAGACAACAACTTGCTAAGACAGCATTCATTTCATCTGTGTTAGTTTTATACAGATATGCATTACATTTGATTTAAAAAAAAAATAACAACATTGCTTGTTTCAATCTCAAACACTGCACTTAGAGAGAGGCATTTCCTTGCCTGACTGCAGAAGTCATAGCTGATGCTCTTGTTCAAACAAACACATCAGGTTTCTCCGCTTATCTAGAACATGGCCATGGTAGCAAAAAAAAAAAAAAAACACGAAGGCAAAACAGACCTCTGCTCTCATCTGAGGCCAGACCCACTTCTCCAGCAGGGAAAAGCAAAGCCTTGGAACTCCTGTCCATATCACAGAGCAAACAGGACCCGAACCAGCAGCGTGCTCCAAGCTGTAAGGGCAGGGCTCCGTTACCTGCAGTGATGTGCAGTAACAGCAGTTAAGTTCTGTGGTCCCACTTGCATTTTTCAGAACCAATTATTTAACTGTAAAATAAGTGAATCTGAAAACTTTCAAAGGAATTCACTCAAGAAAGACACTGTCCAAATTACTGACCCAGATTATAAAAGTAACTGGAGATGCTGTTTGGTTACAGTTATCTTCTGTTCTGCTCTTTGTTACTTTTTTTTTTTTTTTTAACCCTCTCTCATTCTGGTCACTTGGTTGAGGCATTTGAAATTGATTAAATAAGAGTATTTGAAGCATTAAAATAGCTGGTACTAATCTAGCTCCAGTATTCAAGGGAAATGAGAGCTAGGAAGCTGCAGATGTGGATTCTGGCTCCCGCAGCAATCCTGCTCCCAACCAGTAACTGGGACTGTTATCTGGACCATCACAGCACGAAGGCAGAACAACACTGAAGTGCAAAGAACACACAGGAACAGATGCGTAGGTAACAGGTACATCACTGCACTTCAAGTTTTACAAATTAAACCAAACCAGCAAATACAGAAGATGAAATACACAGTTCAGTGCTACAGAAGGACCCCACAAAGACACTATGGAAGTTCTAAAAGCAGCAGAACGCAGGCGTGCCAACAGCCGCCCCCAGAAGCAGCACTAGGAGGTACTCAATCTTACATAGAACTTACTCAAAAAGACAGATTCCTATTAAAATTCACCACCATTACCTTCTGCAGTCTTGGAGCTGTTTTTTCACTGTCACAAAGCTATGTCTTTGCCAGGGTTCCATCAAAGCAGGAAATCATCAAAACCACCTCGGCACTCCAAGCGCTATTCCGAAGCAACAGGTTATCGTCCAATTTATTGCTATCAGTTCCAAAGCCAAGCACACACTAACACAGTGCACCAGGGAAAGAATCCAGCTTTTGTAATGTGAGCATCTGAATGAAGCAGCAGGGAGGTCAGCACTGTTCTCCCCGTTTGTTAAAGACACAGTGTAATCCCACAGGATGTGTTCAGTAAACGCCTCCTTCATCAATGGGGAGGAATGGGTGAAGATGCTGGACAGCCAGCTGACAATACCACTTTATAAAGCATTGTCTTAACTACTGAACTTCAGGGGCAATTATTACAAGATTTCTCGTCTAGATGAAGAAAATAAATCAAAAACAACCAAAACTTCAACTTTACATTCAATAGAAGTTCGGGGTTGTTTTCTTCTTACAAAGGCAGCAGTAAGTCACAGGTGTTCTGGAGGCGGAACCATCTCTGCCTGCACTCCATCAGGTCAGGTCCTCCCCATTAAGTCAACTCTGCTTCTTTCTTTACACACTCTAAGAACAGTAATAGTCACGCAGTACTTCTGTAACCACTGAAGTATTACAATGCACAACAGAGCTCAACACAGAGAACTTCCCCACCAACCACAAAGACGACACTCCTGAGTCAAGCAGCAACCATTGTCTGATGTTCAGAGAGAAGTTCCCCTCTGCTCCTGCCTACAGGATGTCACATACCAGTGAGTTGGGGATACTGCTGAGCAACTCCTCTGCTTTTCACATTCACGTTGGGTGAAGAGGAGCAACAGATTCTGCAAAGGGTGCTCCCTCTGTACATGGGCGGAAGGCAAGAGGAGCCTTCAGTTCACACTTTCACGGGCAGCAACCTCAGCACTGAAGAAAGCACTTCTGAAGGAGATGTATCAGACATCTGAGAGCACTGCTGCTCTCTGAACTGAGAAAGGGAAGATAAACACTGCCATAGTCTTCTATGTAATGCAATAAGAGAAGAGAGCTCCTTGTTCTTATTTCACACTAACAGTATTCCATATCCTTGAGTTTTTGTTTAAACTCATGTTAGCAAGGCCTAAATCAACACTGAAGTCTGCATTAACACTACACTCAAGCCCAACGTCTACTTCAGAAAAGAAAACTGGAAGAGGAAGCAGAAGTCCAATGCCATCTTTAACAGTAATTTGTCACATAGCTGTTCAAAGCAATCACTATCGGTTTTGCAAGCTGAACAATTAGCAAAAGAGAAAGCATAAAGAATTACATTCACTTGCAGCTCTGCTGTCAGATGAGGACACAAGCTGAGAGGCTGTTTTCTAGAACAGTGACAGTAATACTTTCCCCAAGCCTACTCAGCTGTCAATCTAAAGGAGAAAGTAGGCAGTTCACTACATTATTTCCACAAACCACCTCAACCAGGGAGCTGAAACAAAATAGGAAGAACATGAAGGCATTCTGCAGTACTGAGAAGACAGACTGCTGTTATGCACAACAGCACCAAACCTGGGCAATAAGGCTTTTTGGAAAAAAAACAACAACAAAACACAACAATTTAACTTTGTCTTTAACCAAAGAATAGTTCAGAGAATAGGATGGAAAATGTGATCTGAGCAATGCACAGCTTACAGGACAGGTGCCTCTGCTTCTGGGCTGACTCCAGGGC